GCAATAGTTTCTGGATGCCGTAGCCCGGAGTCAGTAACGCAGTACCCTGCAAGAGAAGCAGAGATGAACTCCTGACCAAGTGCCCTGAGGACCATCAGAGCCATGACACTACAGCTTTATGCTGCCCTCTCTGTGCTAATCCTAGAAATCAGATAATTTGGTTAAAAGGGACTTGAAGAGGTCATGTTGTCCATCCCTCTCTCTCACGGGTTTCTAAATCATAGAATCATACAATCATGAAGGTTGGACAAGACCTCAAGGATCATCAACCATCAACCCAACCCCACCCAACCCACTAACCCATGTCCCCAAGCACCACATCCACACGTTTCCTGACCCCCTCCAGGGCTGGTGACTCCCCCACGTCCCTGGGCAGCCTGTTCCAATGCCTGAGCACTCTTTCAGTGAATTTTTTTTTTTTTTTAATGAGGCTGGATAAACTCCCCCTCTCTGCAAGAAGAGACACAATGGTAGGACCAAGAGCCATGAGACTCATTGTGCTTAACCAGGGTGTGAAGAGGAGGACATGGGACAGCCATCCCATGGTGACAGTGGGCAGCAGTTCCCAGGCACGGGCTGGCTGGGTGCCCACATTATCCAGCCTCAGCAGCCACCATGCCTCATTTCTCCCACAGCTGGACACTGGGATTATTCTGCAAATCCTAAACCCACCCAGCATAGCCCACCACCCAACAGGCAAATTTCAGCTTCTTGATGGTCACCTGTGGGTCCAAAGCTGAGGGTTTATTCATGCAGAACCTACAGAGCTATAACCACCTCCAGTGGGTCACACCTACCAGGAGAAATTTAAGAGCCTACAGGAAAGCTGGGGAGGGACTTTTTACAAGGACACGCAGTGACAGGATGAGGGGTAATGGATTTAAATTGGAAGAGGGCAGATTTAGACTAGATATTAGAAAGAAATTCTTTACTGTGCGGGGGGTGAGGCAGTGGCCCAGGGTGCCCAGAGAAACTGTGGATGCCCCATCCCTGGAGGGGTTCAAGGCCAGGCTGGATGAGGCTTTGGGCAACCTGGGCTGGTGGGAGGTGTCTCTGCCCATGGCAGGAAAGTTGGAACGAGATGAGCTTTAAGGTCCTTTCCAACCCAAACCATTCTATGATTCTATTCTAAGAGGAAAGGTTTGTTACCCTGGATGTGGTTTGGGGGATGGGATTTAGTTTGAACTTTCCTTCTCTGAACCTACAGATCATCTGAGCTCACCTTCAAGGGGTGCTCCTCAGACTGCATTGACTCCCCACCTCTCACAGCCATGGGGGCTTGGACCCCCAGTCACAAATTTTGGACCCTGAATGCAGAGCTGAACCTAGCAACACTCAGAAGCTGGATTTTTTTGAGTTATCCCTCAGCTCTTTGAAAAGCCATATGCCCTTTTATGGTGTCCTGGTTTATGTACTTAAAACATCCCGTTCGTTTTGGCCTCAGCTGTGATCTCCTTCATTCTCAAGGTTGAGATTAATGGATGAAATCTGTTTACAGGGAGCGAAAAGCTGCTCTGCCCAGCGATGTGCAAACATATGGATATGGAGGCGTAAACAGAGGATTTTGTGGTCTTAAACCAGGTCAGAACATTAGTCCACGTCCAATCCCGAAGATAAAACAAACTTTCCCAATGAACCCTTCTCAGGATCGCCCCATTCATGTTGATTTACTACCAAGTTCCCTGGAATGTAACAGAACCTCATAAATCCCAAGATGCATAAGCACAGGAGTCGGATGGCTGCTACCAAAAATAATAAAAAGGAAAAAAATCCCCCAAATATCTCAGGGGTATGCATCAGAGTATCCCAGATCTGACCCAGTTTCAGAGCCTGCCTATAGATTCCTTTAACTTCATAGCCAGGGAATGGGTTTTATGTCTTGCAGAGCAGACGAAATTTTAAAAGCAAGAAGGCTGCGCTGCTGCAGAGTGCCTTCTGCCTTTCTTGGAAGAAAACCCCCGTGACATCTGCTGATACAAAACCAGCCGAATCCCTCGCAGGGCTGTGCATGGTTGTCTATTTCAGTGGGAAAGCTGAACTAAAATGGACTAAAATGTGAGACTGGTACCAATCACAAACGGTGACCAGAATGAGCAGCATGTGAGGCAGCATCTGAGCATCATTTATTTTCACATCCCTGTGGAGCACCATCGCTGTTCCCGTGCTCACCCGGCTGTGAAGGTGCTGGTGCGAAGCAGAAGCTGACAACGTGCACCGTTGTCTGGCAAAAAGGGAATTTTCTGATGGCAAATGTCGAATGTAGGCAGGGGGTTAAGCAAACGCAGATAAGAGAAAGGGACGGGACGGACAGGTGGAAAGCACTTGTAAATAAATTGGTATGTACATGATTGCTTTTGGCACCGTCAACGGAAAGTCAAACACAGAAAAGCAAACAGCAAACGTGAGGAAGACGGGGGCGGTGCTGTCAATGATTAAATGAAGGCAGCAAACCTCTGTGATCCGGAGACAGCTGGAGAACAGCCGGGTTCAGGGGGAGCTGCAGGTACGGCAAACGCGTGCAAGCCTCACGGCAGCACAACATTTCATATTGCAAATGCGAATCAACAGGCTGCACGGTTCCTGGCCACATTACTCCATAAAGAGATGTTTTTAGGATAAATACAAACAAATATTACTACAGATTTAATTACTCAGCATCACACAGACCTGTCAGGGCTGCAATGCATTCGCTGTGCTCTGTTCTGGAGTGAAAGGCCACCTCCAAGAGAGCTGGGAAGCCCCCTTAGTTCTGGATGGACAAACCTCCAGGATGGACCTTCCTGTCCCTGGAAGGGGACACAGGGGCTGCCTGGGGCTGGGGGACCCAGAGCCGCGGTGTCGATGGGCACTGCTTGGCCGAAATGAGGGTAGTACTCATGGTTTAACCCAGTTGTGGATTTCTGTGGTGCTCTGCGCCTCGGGGAGCCGCTCCCTGCCATCCACAAGCCGATTACAGCAACGTTGGCTCTTCCCCGTGGCTTGCCCAGCCCAACCCGCTGGATTTAGCAAAACATTGAAGCACGAGACAAACTGCTCCTTGGGGTGCTCGCACAACAGTGTGCCCGCAGTGATTGCACAGCATAATGCTGCTGGGTGCTCAGGTCTCCACGGTGAGGTCTCTGGCTTCCCACCTCTTGCTGGCAGTTGGGAGCAGCTGGACTATTGCAGCATGCACAACCGGACACGTGCAAATCCCCTGTCTGCAGACATCTGCTCTACAGACCCTTGGAAAAACACCGGAGAGTCTTCTGGCAGCTTCCCAGCCATGAAGCCCAGAGCCTGCGTGTTAAACCCTCACATGTCCCTTGCATCCACCTTTATTTTTGCACGGAGTACATCTTTCCTCCTGCAAACAGCAATGCCTTCCCAGCATTGGACTGACTTGATGCTTTGCAGCATCACCCATATGTTCGTGCTGGTTTTCCTGCTTGGCACCTCCCGTTGACAGCACCCAAAAGACCGTGGAAGAGACGGAGCATTTCCTTCTCCTGATGAAAAACCCAGATACAATTTTCTCTCTCATGCTTGACAAAAAAGCAAACGTGATTCCCTGTCATGGCACGGATGCTTGCCAATTGGATTCTCCACCGCAGCACCCAGGACAGCTGGGAGAAGCTCTCCGTACATTTAGCAAAGCAGCTTTTGGAGCTGTAGGGGATGGGTGGGCAACAAATAAAAAAAAATACAGAGAAACAATGATTTTTTTTTTTTTTTCTCACTACAAAGCTCTCCAGCACATCCCTGCAATGCACAGCATCTCCCAGTTTGCTGGGACCTGATAACAGACAGCCAGCGCATCCCAAGCCCCAGTCCCGATCCTGACCTTGGAGCTGCTCTTCGCACGGCTGGACACCCACCCTGGCAAGTCCCTGCACTGGTTTTCTCTGTCTTCATCCCTCCCCAGCACCAGTGCTGCTCACAGCATCACTGCAGCATGCTCTCTCCAGCACCTGCAAGGTCACGGTTTCTCTTTCTCCTTTTTTCACCCTCCTCCCTCCCAGATAGCCCAGAGGAGACCAGCCCATGGGGAAGCTGAAGGTACTGGTTTGGGGCAGGAAGGAGCAAACCGTTTGGTAGGACCCTGCAGACATGATGGAGTCACAGGGATTTGGCTTGTGCGGGGGTTATTTTACAGAAAATGGTTAATCAGTGGTTAATCAGGAGCTGGACTGCCTTGGGGCAGGGTGGAGGCTCCGTAATGACAGCCTGATGGAGCTGCTCAGCCCAGCTAGGCAGCATCTCACTTGTCCATCACACCCATCCCTATTTTGCATCAATAAACAAATAGCACCACCTGTCCCAGGACGCATTCAGATTGCATTGCATGCCCGTTGCACCCTGTACCTCCATTCCACACCAGCCCACCCTCCTTTGAATCCTAACCTGGGGGCTGGGGAGAGATTTTCATCATGTTCCCAAAAGAGTTATAGGCAGAGCAGATGACGTAAAAACGATACAGACCCTGCAACGAGATTGGACTCAGTTCTTCTCACTTCATGTCCTTCGGTTACAGCCCGTTAGCACCGGTCTGTAAAAGCATCACATTATTTGTATAATGAAAGCTGAAGAGTCTCCTATGATCACGTAACCCTGAGAACTTACAGTTTCATGCAATGGACCGATTTTGGGTTATTATCACGAGAAGGAGAACTCTGGCAAAACTGTTTGTATTTCTTCAGAGACCAAAACCGCTGTCAGCAGCGGATGAAAGCCTGCTCTCAGTATCCTTCTCTGTCCCCAATCTCCATCGCACCGCCACACCAGCCCTGCCCTCTTGCAGAATTTCTGAGAAATGGGGGCATCCCATAATGGGAGGTGGAATAACGGGAATTGCCATAATCCATCCTTCCATGGAGAGGAAAAGAGCTGCATTGCAAGAAGAGGCGACAGGTTTCTCCTGGCATGACTGACTTCTTCTGGGAGAAGATATTGCCCATGAGCAACCGGCCTGGAGAGAAAAGGAAGGAGGAGACTGGCTGCAGGGTGTTGCTGCTCTGGGACTAAACCCGCTGCCGGGTCCCTCTCGGGCAGAGCAGGACGAGGATGCGCCTGCGGATCCGCTTGGTTTTCCAGCTGTACACCAGCGGGTTCAGGACAGGTGGCACCAGGAGGTAGGCATCGGCCAGGAGTGTGTGAGTCAGGGGGGGAAGGTGCTTCCCAAACCTGTGGATGATGGACAAGCTGATGAGCGGGATGTAGAAGATCAGGACGGCACAGAGGTGGGAGATGCACGTGCTAAAGGCTTTGGCTCGTGCTTCCTGGGAGACGATGCTCAGGATGGCTCTGATGATCATCGTGTAGGACAGGAGGATGGCCAAGATGTCCAGACCCTTGGTGAGTATCACCGCCATCAGACCGTACAAGCTGTTGACCCTGACGTCCCCACAAACCACTCTCAGCATGTCCTGGTGCAGGCAGAAGGAGTGAGACAGGATGCGCGACCTGCAGAAAGGCATCTTCTTGATGAGGATGGCAACGGGTAGCACCACGCAGACGCCCCGCAAGACGATCGCGCCTCCTGCCTTCGTGATCAGGGAGCTCGTCAGCACGGAGGTGTAGCGCAAGGGGTAGCAAATGGCAACGAAGCGGTCGAAGGCCATGGCCACCAGGACCCCGGACTCGATGGCGGAGAAGGAGTGGATGAAGTACATCTGGACGATGCACGCCTCGAAGCGGAGGGAGGTAGACTCGAACCAGAAAATGGCCAGCATGGTGGGCAGGGTGGAGAGGGACAAGCCCAGGTCTGCCGCGGCCAGCATGGAGAGGAAATAGTACATGGGTGTGTGGAGGCTGTGGTCCGTCCTGATCATCCAGAGCAAGGTGCAGTTCCCCAGGAGCATGAGGACGTACAGGCAGCAGAGAGGCCACGCCACCCAGTAGCTGCTCATCGGCAGACTGGGAATGCCGGTGAGGATGAAGGTCAGGGGACTGGACCCAGTTGTATTGGAAGATGACATCTCGCACACTGATGGTCCAGGGGTCTGGAAATAATAGTGTCTTGGAATAAAAGCCCTGCTATGAGACCCCAGCTACAATGGTGTTGGGAGGACAGGCTCCTGGGAGCCAAGAGACCCCTGTGCAGATGCCCTCCTGCATCTCCATCACATCAACCAAGGAAAAGCCACAGTGGGGCAGCCCCGGGGTCACTGTCTGGGCTGTGCACAGCAGCAGATAACGAGGAATGAGCAGTGCGCCACTTAGTCTCCCCTAGCTGTGGTCCCCAACACTTAAATATAGAATCACGGAATGGTTTGGGTTGGAAAGGACCTTAGAGATCATCCAGTGCCACCCCCTGCCATGGGCAGGGACACCTCCCACTAGCCCAGGTTGCCCAAAGCCTCATCCAGCCTGGCCTTGAACCCCTCCAGGGATGGGGCATCCACAGCTGCTCTGGGCACTCTGGCCCAGGGTCTCCACATCTTTCCTGGAGGCCCCCCAGAAGTTCTGCCAGAAGGTCTCCCCGGAGCCTTCTCTTCTCCAGGCTGCACACCCCCAACTCTCTCAGCCTGTCCTTGAGATTTGGTGCTCAGCCCTTTGGGAGGTGCCTGACGGATGCTTCTCAGCAGCAGGGGCAGGACCAGAGCCTGGGGCCAGGATGCTCCTGCCTGGGGAAGGAGGAGAGGTGGGATGGAGAGCTGGGGATCAGCCCTGGGAACAGGGCAGGCAGCAGGAGGAGCAGCCTTGGCCATGCTGGTCCCAGTAAGGCTGGAGAACTGGGACAGGAGAGGGAAAGGGGGGACAGAAGGGAAGAGAGACAAAAGTGGGGAAGGATCAATGTTTGTGCTGAACGGAATGCAGTCAGACCACAAGAGATAACGTCTCACTCCGAGATGAGAAGCAGCCCCATTATACGTGACTCTGGATCCATTTCTCCCCTTTTTGTTTAAGTATGGCAAAATGTGTAACGTTTTAGGGAGCTTTACCAGCTACACCTCCAGGTCAGTTAACCAAACCAACCCTGACGGCAGGAAAAGACATTTCTGCTTCACAGCTGCCAAAAAGGTTAAACGGAAAGGAAGAAATTCCGAGGCTCCAATAAAGCCTGAGAACCTGGCGTGGTGTTTCATCTGCCTGATGCCACTAGAAAACCCAACAGCACACACCAGGGCTCCATTTAAACACTCTGGAAGCCTCCCGCTTTCCTGGGCAGCTTCACCGCCCCGGGAGCAGGGGATCAGCTGCGATGCTCAGTGACCGGAGGCTGGGGCAAGCGGGGGAGGTTTCCAGAGAAATATTCCAAACAGGCTTCTCTGCAAATACCGTTAAATTTAGTGCATCTGAAACGGAGCAGCTGGACAGCGGGTGGTCACAGCAGCACATCTCGCCTCTGGCCACGGCTGGTCGGGGAAAATAGGCTTGTCTCTATTCAGCTGGAAATGAATACGTTTTGCATAACAGAGGGACACAAACCGGTTGAGATTTGTCCCAGACTTTGTCTGCACGTGTACACGCACGCTCTGAGACCGCATCTGCTCTCAGGAGAAAAAAAAATAAACTAGTTTTCACATGGCCAAAGG